TATATATATATATATATACATATATATGTGTGTGTGTGTGTATGTGTATATATATGTATGTGTATATATGTATGTATGTATACACACACACACACACACATGCACCAACCAAGAAAAGAGGTGCTAAACTCCTTGTCTTACAACCAAAAATCAGACAAAATGCTCACCTAGTAACATGAGCATTTAAAACACTATGTGGGCCAAACGAAACACTGCGGAAATCCTTGAGTCTGTCACAGAAGTCTGTGGGCTTCCAGTTTCCTAATTTAGTGGATAGTTTCCCTAATACCATCCTCCATTCACTCTCCTTTCTTCCGATGCTGCCGGTACAGGTGCTGAACCTGTTTCTGGCCTTGCTCCTGAGCTCCTTCAGTGCAGACAACCTGGCAGCCACGGATGACGATGGGGAAATGAACAACCTGCAGATCTCAGTGATCCGTATCAAGAAGGGCGTGGCTTGGACCAAAGTGAAAGTGCGTGCCTTCATGCAGGCCCACTTCAAGCAGCGTGAGGCCGATGAAGTGAAACCCCTGGATGAGCTGTACGAAAAGAAGGCCAACTGCATCGCCAACCACACTGGTGCAGACATCCACCGGAATGGTGACTTCCAGAAGAATGGCAATGGCACCACCAGTGGCATTGGCAGCAGTGTGGAGAAGTACATCATTGATGAGGACCACATGTCCTTCATCAACAACCCCAACTTGACTGTGCGGGTGCCCATTGCTGTAGGCGAGTCTGATTTTGAGAACGTTAACACAGAGGACGTTAGCAGCGAATCGGATCCCGAAGGCAGCAAAGATGTAAGAAGCCAGCCTTGATCCTGTGTGAGAACAAACAGGGCCCTGTCAGCTCCAGGGAGTGGTTCAGCCATGGGCTTGGTGGAGAGATTCTGAAGTAGCCACCTGACTGACCCCCCTGTTGTCATTCTAGGCCTTCCCCAGATGACCTAGATCCCTGAGATGCCCCTGTATCTATCTCCATCGCTTCTAGGTCATCTAGGTCCGAGGCTGGACCAAGCCCTCAAGTACTTCCCTGCCATTAATCTGTGAGAGCTGTATCCTCGAGACCAGCCTATTAACCACGTTTGGTTTAGTGTGGATCACTGTCATCTGTGAATGGGTTTTAATGTCACACTCCATCCTGACAGCAGTTTCGAAAGCCCTATAGTAATTGTTTGCCTGTCGTCAGTTGGACAATGATGAGTTTGTAATAGAATTGCAGAGAATTTTAGCTGGCACATCATCCGTACCAGAGGGGGAAGAGCCTGCAGAGTAGGCGAGTTGCTGCAGTCGCTTCATCTCCCTTTTTCTTGCATGTCTAGAAACTGGATGACACCAGCTCCTCTGAAGGAAGCACCATCGATATCAAACCGGAAGTCGAGGAAGTCCCTGTGGAACAGCCAGAGGAATACTTGGATCCAGACTCTTGCTTCACAGAAGGTGCGAGGGGGCAAAAAAAGGGCGTGGGCACGTCATGCTTGCCCTGCTCACAGACAGATTTCTGCCAGGGGTCATGGCTGGATGAGAGGGTGGGGGTTCAGTGGTTATTTTCAAGAACTTTGTTCCCCACCTCATCATTTTGAGGGGGGCTGATAGTGTTTTCCCTGTTCAAACTATTCTCAAACTTTTCTTTGTCCACTTTCTCTTGGCATGAGCCTAAAAACTGCCATTAGAAAGGCCGATTCTGTCCCGGCTGTGTCCGCCTCCTGAAGCCCGTTTCTCTTCCCTCACATCTTCCCAACTCCAGAGGGCCCTGGGAGCCGTGCAGCATAGCCTCAGCCCTGCCACCCTCTCCGTTTCTGAGTCAGATGTTCTGATGCAGCCACTGTACCCCTGGCTGTGTGGTGGGGCAGCGCCAGGTGGGGCCTGGGAGATGGAGGACAGGGCAGGGCTGGGTGGGGCGCCTCCCGCGGTCTGACCTGCCTCTCCCGCTGGTGCCAGGTTGTGTCCAGCGATTCAAGTGCTGCCAGGTCAACATTGAAGAAGGGCTAGGCAAGTCTTGGTGGATCCTGCGGAAAACCTGCTTCCTCATTGTGGAGCACAATTGGTTTGAGACCTTCATCATCTTCATGATTCTGCTCAGCAGTGGCGCCCTGGTGAGGTCCAGGGGAGAATACCGTGAGGGATTGGCTGGGGAAGAGACTGGATGGGGCCCAAGACCAGTTTCTCTGAGAACACAGATTAGCTGTGGACTCAAGGATAATGGTCTATTGACATGCTTTGGAGGGTGTTTTGAGCCTTTGGGATTAGAGTCCACACTCGTCCACAGCCTGATCTTCTGTAGACTCAGCACGATCTCTCTCAAGCCTAAAACCCCCTTTCCATCAGGATGAGAATACAAATGACTAAGTGTCTTCACTGCTTGGTTTGCCCCATTCTAAGTAACTTTCTGAGATAAACTTTCTCACCTAATACACCAGATCTCTTGCTGTTTACTTTTCAGTTGTCCAAGGTATGGGGCAGGTGGTGTTCCTCCACCTGCTCTCCCCTCACACCCTACTGGACTTGGAGAACCCGTGGCATTAGCAAATATTTAAAGAGTCAGGTCTGTGGTATCTCTATACTCGGGTATCTCTATCCATGTGGTTGTAAGTGCGCATCAGTCCTGGAGGCTTCCAGGGCACTGGACACACAGGCTCCTCCCCTGCTAGGACTGACTGTCTCAGTTTTGGCTTTCACTTCTAGCTGGATTGTAACTGAGGAGACTAGGACAGGGTCTGGGATGCAGGAGCTGCTTCCTAGTTTGACTAAATTTGAGGACAGCAGGGACTAGAGATGCCACACGTTTCTTTTCTTTTAATTAAGGGAAAGGTGAAGAATGCAGAATTTTGAAATGTTTTTAAAGAAGGTGGGCACATTCATGTAGGTGTGGAATCAAAGCTGAATCTGGAAGCAGAAAAATAACAAGGGAGAAACCCCACATTCTGTGTTAAAGATCCCACCAGTGACTTGAGAAGCATTGCTGATGTGTGAGGTAGGAGACTAACTAAGAGAAGCTGAGACAGGCAGAAATATGTGGTAAAGAAGAGCCCGAGGATATGGAGGACCGGGTCTATGCAGGAAAGTGTCAGCACTAAAGCAAGAGGCAAAAAAAAATGGTGGCTTGCTGTCCTTGGCCTGAGTTATTCACTGTATCCACAGGCAAGCACTCAGTGCTTCCTGAGGCGCTGTGGAGGCACCGGGATGACAGCCTGGTCTCTGCCCTCGAGAAAAGGGAGGCTCAGACTAAGGCCAGTGATCAGAGAAAGGTGTTGTATTCCTGTTGTCTTCCTTATTCTTCAAATCTAGTAAACAGAAACCTAGTACAGCAGAGAACATGCCCCATCCTCTTATTCCTCTCTTGCCTATCTCCACAAAAAAAGCAGTAGCGAAGTAAATGTCTTTAACTTTCTTTACTGCTCACTTTTGACGATTTTTATTTATCATAATTGAATAAACCGGGACACTTGGCTCAGTNTGAGCACTTACTGTGTGTTCACCGGGAACCAAAGGGACAGGAATTCAGTCCCTACTTAGTGTGCATTAGGCAGGCTGACGTTTCTATGTGGAGAAACCTTTGATGGGTTTACACTAAGGGTAAAATGTATGTCAGGAATTGGTTAGCTGCCCCTACTTTCCCTGACCTCACTTAGCGGGGTGTTTTATCTAGAGATGCTTAGCTTGCACTATGACCTTTGATTTTGCTTAACTAGATTTCTTCAGGGAATATTTTCTTTCCGTTTTAGAATACTGCATCTTTAGTTTAGAGAAATGGGGAACCACAGAAAAGAATATGGACACCAAAGACTTCTAGCCCACGTAACCATTTTGATGTGTTTCCTTCAAGTCATTCTGTTTTTGTTATTTCTATACATTAATTCAGTATATTTCTAAACAGTATCTGTAATCTAAGTACTTTTCACTATTTTTAATTCTTTCCTCAGACCATATCTTCAGTGTTTTTCTTAAACTCCTTCATGTGTAAATTTGGTAACCAGGTGGATATAAGTAGTAATTTACTATGAGTTTTAAATCTATTGCATATAAAGCTCCCTAAAAACATAATATTCAATAAGAGTCTGATGTCATGTGGTTAGCTTAGAACAAGGAAATTGATCTTGTCAAAACTGGTGTCCATGGGATTTTACTTTCCTTCTGCACATTATATTCCTAAGACTGCAGGATACAGAAGGCATTAGGAAGCACAAGGTGCTCCGTCAGACAGAAAAGTGGGAGGCAGGTAACGGAGGGAAGAAGTCATTTTTGTAACCCTATAAGATCCAGATCTAAAACAATTATAACTTCATTGATTATCATATTGAAAAAAATCAAAAGGAAGCATCAATGTATCCAACAATAAGAAATTTCTGAGGCTATATTCCCCAGTGGCATTTTATACAAGCAGTAAAATTGAGAATTAGGAAGACCATGTAGCAAGATGGACAAAGTCATGATTAGTGAAAAATAAGACCCAAGACTATGTATTCTATGACTTTACTACTCTGTCAAAATATATATGCATTTGAAAAAAAAACAGAAAGGGAGTATATAAAAATGATAGTTATATGCAAGGTGGTGAGACTATGGATGTGTTTTTCCTGTATTTTTCACGCTTTTAGTAATGTTCTACTGCTTTAACAATTTAAAATAAGAAACCCTGCAGAGTATGTTTTAAGTTTGATAAGATACATAATATCAAATCAGGAATAATGCTGTATTTTTCTAATATAATTATAACACAAGTGTTTAGGGTTCTTATAGGGAAACACCCCAAGCATACACATTTAAATGACTGCTGACCCTTTAGGAGTCACCTGTGTGGTATTCCCATAGCTTAGAATAATTTTTTCACTGCACTCTTGAACAATGTGATTTGGGTGGCTCTGGCAACAAAGATGGGAACATTGGGGCTAAGTATCATTCAAGAGGAAAATAAGACTTTCTTGCATCTTGTGGCGTAGTCATGGGACATGTAGTGATGTCCTCAGATGCATAATTTAACCAAGGCTGGCTCTTGAGGCTCCTTGGACATGTTGTATTCAAAGATAATGATAAAGGCATTCTTCTTCTCATTTCTTTTTCTTAACCCCTGCGTTCCCCCTCTTTAGGTTTTCACTGGAATTTTCACAGCAGAAATGTTCCTGAAGCTCATAGCCATGGATCCCTACTATTATTTCCAAGAAGGTTGGAACATTTTTGACGGATTTATTGTCTCCCTCAGTTTAATGGAACTGAGTCTAGCAGATGTGGAGGGGCTTTCGGTGCTGCGATCTTTCCGATTGGTATTCAATATTTCTCCAATTTTGTTTTACATTTCCTGTCTTGCAGTTACTAGAGTTTTGCATAAGTTAATTTGATGATTTTTAAAAATCCTTAGCTATAGTCTACTTCCAATTTCAGGCGAATTATTGGCCTAAAGTCTTGAAAACTTGCCTGCTAATATAAAAGTTAGTTTTTAAAATCAATTGACCAACAGACGTCAGTTAGGAAGTTCCTCAGAAAATAATGATAAACCTAAGAGATGAAGAAGGACTCCTAAGGACTATTCTGAGGACTGGTTTAAATTTTCTAGTGAACCTATTTCTTTATCTGAACATCTCCCTGAAATGGCAAAGAGTTCCTCCTTGTTCAAAGATGGCTTTCCTCATTTCTTCTATTTTGGTGACTCTTTCCAGAAAATAAGAATAGGATCATCTTTTTTTTTTTAATTATATTGAAATTAGTTGTTGAACATTGGCTTTGTTTTACACATCATTACTTAGGAAGGGTTTTTTAATTAATGTATTTGAAGACGTTAATGTGTAAATTACTAAAATAACTCTGAAAGAATAGTTAACGATGTCCTTAACATAGCTTGCCATGTAAATAGGCATAAGTGATGTGCTGACTAAGTCCCTTGAGAAGCTGAGTGACCTTGGGGATATCCCACTCAGAGAGTGCATCAGACCTGGCTTGGTGTTTCCCTCTCCCTATTGGGAAAATACCTAAGCACTTTCAACTGAAAGAACGGAAGGTTTTGTCATCGGGATATTCATCATATCTAAGAAAGAGAATTGGAATAGAGTAAAACTGCCGTGTTTCCTTGAAAATAAGACCGGGTCTTATATTAATTTTTGCTCCAACAATCTACCTTTATTTATTTATTCATGTACAAAAATCTACATTTATTCAAACAGCCGTATCTGGCTGATGATCTTAACTGGGGCTTATGTTTGGGGTAGGGCTTGTATTACGAGCATCCTGAAAAATCATGCTAGGGCTTATTTTCCAGTTATGTCTTATTTTGGGGAAAACACGGTATTTGTAAAATAGTGATCTTGTTCAGTCCAAGTCACAAATTCAACATCTGCCAAGTTTCTAGAACCTCTGCTTACTAGTCTTTGGTTATGATCCAGCCCACAGTAGACTTTAAGAACATTTCTTATTATCTAGGAAATGAGAGGAAGGATTAAGAGATAGAAGCCTTAGCACTAATATTCTTAATAAATTAAAAGCCANTGTCCACCCTAACCTGAACCACTCTGTCCCTCTTCTCTCTGGGTTAAGTAATCATGGAATTCAAGAATATCAATCAGGTATCCCACATCCCTCTGGTACCCAATAAGCTGCTAAAAGCATTAACAGTCCCACACATCACCATTTATTTTGCAAACATTGTTATCACTTTTTATCCTAGGTGGCAGGGAAATCAGAAGCATGAGACAGTCATGTAGCCAACTAACAATAATCCCTAAATCCCTCCAGCTTTTGAGAGCTGCAGGATCCTTACGTTGCCATGGGGCCTGACAGTAGCTTCTGAGAGCACCTCTGTAGCAGCTACTAGTAAACAAATGCAATTCAAATACCATTCTCTGTGTAGAATTGTCCCAGAAGCTATAGGGAGTCACAGAGGACAGGCAGGCGTGCTCCAGCCCCTGAGGAGCTTACACCAGTTTGCAGGGCTGCTCTGGCCTGATTCCAGGTTTCTGGTGGTAATCCAGCATTCTGGAAACAAGGCACTCCCAGGGCCCTCCTTTCTATGGACTTCTCTCAGACAGAACAGTTCATTTAGTCTTCACACATCACATGTTTACTGAGCACCCACAATTTGCAAAGCCTGCTGCCAGGTGTTGTGGGAGATCCAGAGAGTACAAGACGTGGGCACTTCTCTCTAAGGGCCTGAAAAGAGGAGACACACAAATAACCACAGCAGAAGTGGAGTGTGCTAAGTAGCGACAGTCCCCCCAGTCCAAACCATGGCTGCATTGATTGCCACTTTTGAGTTGTGGATGGAGAATAAGGCTTAGACTGACAGCTGGAATTAGCAGAGTTTTCACAGTCCTTTTGGATAAAATGTCTAGTCCCTTGGTGTTTTTAGAACATCCGGCAGTGTAAATTTTAGGTTCTAATTTAGCACCATCTCTGAGAGACTTCCTACCATTTCATCCATTTCATCTGAGGTCTGAACCTGTCATTCATCACCATGTTTGTTTCCCTAAAGAATTTTCATTTTTCCTTATTGTCCCTTAAAGCTGCTAAGAGTACTTTTTAGAATCATGGAATAATCCAGACAACTTCTAAGGTTAACCCTCCTTATTTATAAGCTATGTGAATTCCCTAACAGAGCCAACCTTTTATTTTGCTCAGGTCCTTGGCTGCACTGGAGATCTTGTCCTGTAAAAGAATTTTGTCATCTTTTCCCCCAGGGAAATTTGTCCCGTCATATCTGGAGGTTAACCAGCATATCGGTTCCAGGGATGTGAACTTGCAGAGACCACTCATCTCATCCTAAATTCAGACTGCTGAAAACATTCTCTGTTTGAACATGTTCACATCATTTTGAAAAAGTCACCCAGTGTCTTCTCCTTTTTTCTGTGCCTGCAGCCATAGATACCCTGAGTTTTGAATTCCCAACTCCTTTGTCTTGTTCAGGTTTGATTTTTCCTTAGAGTAGACATTAAGCAATGTTCTGATTATCTCCAATGGGAGTTTAACATGGAGGCTCAGAGGATTATGAGAAAGTCCTTGACTAGGAATGAATAACCCAGATAGGGTCCTTATTGATCCTGTCTTGGGAGAAGTTGGCCAGATTGATCAGTCAAGTGTAGATTATCTCAACAATGTTTAGAGCCAACCTCCGGATTGGCATCTGTACCTCCTCCTCCTCCCCACTGTAGGCCTGTTTGTTATCAGATAAATCACCCTCACTACCACCCCCAAAGAGCTGGGGGTCCTCTTGCTTTGTTTGGGCCCTATAGCCACTCACAGCTTAGTTTTCTGCCGTCTTTACCTGGCATAGTTTCATAGCACAGAGCTGATCAGAGGTAGTTAGAACTCAGGTACTTGGTTGGAATGAGATAGCTTACCTTCAGATGTACCTATTAAGGTCTCACTAAGAATCTGGCAATTTTACATGATTTGTGTTTAAGAGTTAGCTGTACTTGGCCATAGTAGTCAAAAGATATCTCCATGCAGATTTTTACTGATAATGATGATGAAAGGACAACGACTGATTGGTGCTTCTTCTGTGTTCTAGATAAGGAACATCTTAACCTATCCCAGAATAAGGGAAAGACTTCTAAGAAACCCAGAGCCCAACTAAAAGTATTTCAGGTCTCAGGTCAGGCGCAGTCCTAGGTGTAGTTAGTATCCAATGTTAAGGGGTCATCATGGTAACTGCTCTGAGGCCTCTGGTAGAACAGGTGAGCTTGCCTCTGGAAAAGCAGGAAAGCATTCGACCATGAGTCTAGGCCTAGGGTCCTGCAGAACTCTCCTCAGTGTGCCAATATAGTCAACTCTGGGTTGTTCCGATACCTACAATCCTCTACTGGGATATTGTCATCTATCCTGCCAGTGGGGGAGGTGGTCTGTCCATGGAAAAAAGAGCTCTGGCCTGGGAATCAGGAGTGTAGATCTCAACCCTGGCTGCAGAACTGCTGATGTGACACTGGGCAAATGCTTGTGTATTGGGTGTATGGGTCTTGTATATGGGTCTCAATTTCCTCATCTATAAAACAAAATTTTAAAAATTCTTCCAAGAATCCTTCCAGCTGTTAGTCTAGTGATGAGAAAATAAAAGATTCTCGTGGGAAGGACAGACCTGAGGCCATTTTGGGCAGCTCTGGATAGAAAGAACGGGGACTATAAAAAGAAGTATGGATACAATTGTCCAGCCTCACCCAAGTTCTCAGTGTTAAAGAGTTAACGTGAAGGAGTCAGGGTTGGTTAAAAAGCGGGATTTAGTATAGTGACAAGTGAGAAATAGAAGAATTACTTAAGGAAGTTCTCATGGAGTCAAAATTCTGTCAAGAAGCCTCAATTTGGTTCTTTTCCTCGTGGCAAATGCAAAGTCGGCTGTGATACTTATTGAGTGTTTCCTTTGTTGATGTAGTGACTCATCAAACTCCCAAACGAATGGTTTCTTGTCACCTAGGAGTAAGAGGGCTTGCCTCTACTGGAAAGCCCTGGTGAATGAGCTGAGGATGGGGCAGTCTGTGTGGAGTGTGTGTATTTATCTGTATTCTTTTTCATAGGTACCATTAAATTTGTCTGGCTTAATTTAATGGGAACTTCTGGGACCTGCAGAGACTGTAAAGGGCGAGGGTAAGGTTTTTGTCATCTGTTTAGGCTCCTCTCTTTCCAATGGAACTTCCTCATTTTCTCCCTCTCCCTTCAGCCTCTCCCCTTTTCCAACTTGTCTGTATGTCTGCCACCTTCTCTCGATTTCCTCTTCCCTTTGTGTTTTTTCTTCTGCCTCTCAACCACCTTTCCTTCCAGGTCGTTTGAGTCCAAGTTGAAGTAGGCAGCTGGTGTTACCCACTTCCTCTACCTGGGGGGCCACACCTGTATAATCAGTGCTAGGGGCTGTGTTCTAACACTCTGGAACCTCTTTTCTTTTTCTTTTCTTTTTTTTTTTCCTTTTTTGTTTTGTTTTGTTTCCTTTTTTTGTTTTTGTTTTTTCTCTTCTGTTTCCGTGTAGGTCTCTTTAGTCAGCCTTATAGCTAATGCCCTGGGCTACTCGGAACTAGGTGCCATAAAGTCCCTTAGGACCCTAAGAGCTTTGAGACCCTTAAGAGCCTTATCACGATTTGAAGGGATGAGGGTAAGATACTAAGAGCAGTTGATCCTTCTGCATGCCACTGGAAACTGTTTAAGCATGCTAGAACTGATCACATGGTGGAAAGATCATTCAAACACCAACTCGGTGATGCAGCTGCTATTTGATCCTCCACTCTCTCCCCCGCACCTGCCCCGTGCGAGAGGAGTTGCATTCAGCTGCCTCATCACATTAATATTGGCCCCACCCCCAACAACATGCCACCGCAGAACATGTTAACATTGGCTATTCTCATTTGGCCTGGCTTACCTGTAGCACTTGGGGCAGCTTTCTGGGCTGTTGATTTAATAGGGAGAATCACCAGGTGCAAAGAAGGGGAATTGTAACCCAGAGACCCACTGAAAAGCAGAGGCCGCAGGCAGGGAGAGTGCTGGGTAGGGCCTTCAGCCAGGTGAGGACTGTGGCCTTGGCGTCTCGGAAAACAGCAGCTGAGAAAGGGCTTGAAGACCTGATAGCAGGCCTGGAATGGGGATGGAGCAGAATTTGGCATGGCCCTGGGAAAAGAAATGCTTTTCTTTCTATTCTGATTCCTCTTATTGCACCTTGTTGTTCTCAGCCCAGTCCCATAAGGACTGGCAGCCTCTGTCTAATAGCAAAGCTTTCCTCCCTCACCCCCTACCCCTCTGCCCGTGCTATACAGTCCCCTATTCTAACACTGTCAAACGACCAGGTACAATGCTAGATGAATATCAGCTAGCTCTGAAATTTCTTGACACCTGCTATTCCTGCTTTGGTGATACTCCACCCAAATCCAAACAGTGCCAAGCGCTGTCACCCTGCCAACTTGGAAATACGGCTCCCACTTTTGGTGCCTTTCTGCTGTCTCTGTTGATTTAAAAACTTGTGCGTGTGTGCATATGTGCACACACACACACACTAAAAAGTCAATTTCCCAAAATCAAGTGGACAACTGGCTTTTGGTGGTAATAGTTGTCCTGTGGAGAGAGGTCTGTTATACTTAACGAGACCAAGAAAACTCATTTCAATTCAGATGTTGAATACATGCAGGAGAGCAAACCAGAGGATATGTTTTTAAATGTGCAAATATCCAAATGTAGGAATAAAAATTAAACTTGCAGTAGTCTGAATGGAGCAAGACTAATTGGAGAAACTAGATACCAGGACAGTGTGGCTTCATTCATTCCTCATCTGTGACCCCTGGCCACCATTCCATGAAGCCACCATAGTTATACAGGAAGATGAACGTTTCACTGGGGCTTGGGAATTTTATTATTTTAGTTTATTTAGACAGATGCTTTTTGCATCAATTTTGCATTGTCTTCTGTAGCACAGTCACAGTTTGGTTTACTTAATATAAGCTTTCTGCAACCCAACCGAAGCCGTCTGCAGGAAGGTCAGTTCCACAGCAACATAAATTGATTTTAGTTTAAAAAACAAAACTTGGAATTCTAAGTCTTTCTCCCACAAATAAGACAGATTTCAAAATGTATGCAACGAGGTTGTTGTTCTGCTCAGGCTAAATTTAGGGAGAGAGTATATTACAAAGGACTCCGTTTTAGCTGGCTATGGTGTCTTTGAAACGAGGATGAAAGCGCTCTTCCCCCCTCCCCCACCTTCGCACTTTTATCAGAAGGGGATAGTGAAGATTTTTTAATAAGTCATACTAGTTTTGTTATAGAGTTGATCATTCGTGTTGGTGACTGAAAGACGGAGCGTTAAAAGCAGTCCGCTGAGGACATTGGCGTCACTGTACCCGAACCCAGTAGCTGTGATCACCCACACTCCAGCGGTAGTCCTCCAGCTCCTAAAATGAGGCCAGTAAGACCTGAAGAAAGTCCCAGAAAAAAATGCCCAACTGACACTTGTTACTAACCTTCTCAGTCTGGCTGCGCATGACCGCCAGTCCTGCCCCTGTGGCAGAAGGCGTCCTTAGTGACCAGCTGGTGCCAGCTTGCTCGTGAGGAAATGATTGGGTGATCTGGACACAGGAGCCCTTTTGGTGGCCATACCGCTTCCCTTTAGCCCTTCTCTTCTCACCTTTCCTGAACTCTCAGTTTCCACTCCCCAAAAACTTTCCCTTGTCAACTTTCAGGTAATTTAGGAGGCCAGAAGTCCAGAATGGGTGTGATCCGAACAGTAGGAAGTTTTATTTGAAAAGCATTATAAAGTGAAACCTCTACAAGAAGGTTCTCTCATATGAGACAATGTGGGCGGGAACAAATTTGAACCCAAACCCGGATTGCAAACAAACGTTTAGTAAGGGAAGCTCTGGTATAGGAGTGTCACCTCATTTGGTTGATTCCAACAAACAGTACTGACCACTTCTGCCTGGGCAGGCGGAGAGGCTCAGGATCCACTCCTGAACTGCAGTTTCCCAGCCTTTCTGTGAAAGCGTAACTGCAAGAAGAAAAAAAAGATTGAATTTACCCAAGTTTCTAGTAACTTCTCAGTAATAGACAGAATTAGGTACATACGTTTCACTTGAATGTTATTTTTCTATGGGGGCATATGTTTTTAATTCCTTGGTTTGGGTTATCGTGTATGCCAACATTTGAGAGATTACCCTTAGAAAATTTTAAATAAGAGATCTTCAAGAACGGAATACCATCAATGCAGATGGGCTCAACTGTCACTGTGCTGCTCCAATGATAGGCTCAGGCCTTCGCTTGCAGGGAACATACGGCCCTAGCCTGTCCTGGGACACTGACTTGAGGCTCTTCGTTTCTTCCTCCCCAAACCAAAGACCAGAAAATTGAAACACTCATGCTATTGGCAAAGGAATACTTAATGTAGTTCTTTGCTTTTCTCTCCTCCATAGTAATCTTCATTTAAAGACGTTGCTATGCTATTAAATTTTTGAGGATATATAATATTAATGCTATGAAACATGCATGCATTTTTGTTGATTGTCAGCACACAGTTGTCCATTAAAGCCATGTTCCCTCTGCCAGATATTAAAAGCTATTTGACAGATTTTAAAGTATTTAATGAGCGGTAATGTTCTAGGCATTACAGAGAAGACAAAAATGCTGTAAGATTTAGTATTCTTTGGAATTTTCTCATCAATTAAATGAGATTTGTATCAATCATGAAGTATAAACCTCCATTGGAAAAAGAATAACTTTTATAGATTGCTGGAACCTAGCTTTGAGTGATATTTCTATACCTAGTTTTTTTAAATAATGAATTTCATCGTAACTAAAGGCAATGCAGAATAACTTGAGTTATTAGCGAGAGCAGAAGAGGAGATCGAATTTAGTGAGGGACTTGAATTAGTATTCGTAATGTATCTTTTTAATGTGAGGTTCAAAATAAGAAAGCATGGTTTCTTACCCTTTATTTGCTGAGAATATCAGCACAGTGACAATTATGTATGGAGCACAGTTAAACAATTTCTGTTTAACATTGCAGCGTATCAAAGCTACTGTTTATAGCAAGGAAGAATTATTAGCAAATTTCATCAACTTTGTTTACTGTTTTCATAAACTAAGATAAGAAGTTTTTCTTTGGTTATGATTAATAAATGAAAGTACATTTACATCTTACAAGTACATTGGATTTTATAGGATTTTTATGTTATACATATGAGAGAACAAGGCTCAGTAAATACTTTTGTGTATTGATTCCTTTGATCAATCTACGAATATAAAAGTGTGAAGTGATCACTTAGTCAATTAGCTAATTATTCTTTCCTGCTGTAAATATTACCCCATATTTATCTGTAACACATAGACACCATCTATGTAGGACAGGCTAGATGGGGTTAAGAGAGAAGAGTCCCTAGAGGAGGTAGATTCTGAATTGAGATTTTTAAAAGCAATAGTTCTAGGTTTCAGATCTTTGGGGCCTACTTCCCTCCTGCATACTTGTGTTGATCTAATAGAAGGTCATGACCTGTCCCCCAAGCTCTGCTGCAAAATGCTGTCACATAGACTTGAGCTTTTGAATCTTGATGTAATCTACTCTCATATCGTTTGAGAAATGATGATTCCTTTTGTGGGCCACCCCTCCTTTTGCCTATTCTTTTGCACATTCCATTGCTTTCTGGTGCTCCCACCAAAGGGTGAGCAACTGTAAAATGAGGAGGTAAAATTCAAATCTGATCACCTGACAAATTTGGTAACAAATAAATATGAATATTCTTCAAATTACTATTGAGGATTTTTCAGATTTCAGATATTCTGGCTTTCCTTGCTCAAAGTAATGAACAGTTGAAATATAATCATTTTCTACTAATGACAGAGCTATTAGATCTAGAAGAGATTTCTTGGTCTAAGAATTAAGAAATAACTACCTCTCAATCAAAGGCTTTCATATGTGAATTGGAGTAACACAAAACTAATATTTTAATCTAAGGAAGAGTGACTCCTTAGCAGAATATCATTGCCTTTTTTTGTATAGGACAGAACAGACAGCTCTTCTCAGCCATGTGTCCTATGAGTGACATTGCAATCTAAGACAAAAACAAGGAAAACCTGAACCCAAGTCTGGCTCAAATTAGAGCTCAGAGCTGCCCCCTGGCGTTCCTGCCACGGCATGGCCCTTTTGGCCCTTTAGGTGCTGCGCTGTTTGGCAGCCTGTCCCATCTCTTCCCTGCGCTGAAAAGCTGCAAGGGCATGGTGATACTTGTCACCCCTTCTAACAAAACACTAAAAGATTTTATTTATATCCACTCGCTTTATTTTAACTCAATTAATTCTCCGAGGACACCGGAAAAAAGGAAGAAGCATTTTCCCCATTTTAGGGTCCCTTTTCTGGGCCTCAGCAGCCCACTTAAGACAACAGCAAATGAGGATCAGCGCAGAAGGTGAACGCAGCCTTGTTTTTGTCCCACCACCTGAAATGCTGTTTCCGTAAGCCCTTTGAACTCCTCTAGTGAAAATTGCTGCCACAGTGGAAGTCTTGTCTAGCTACTCTCACCTATAGTGTGAAGCAAAATCAAAGTTTATAATAACCCAGAAACTTTGATTCCTGAGGGGTTTCTTTCCCTTTGCTTTTTTTTCATTCCTGAGCTTACTGTAGTCCATGATTTTTGACAATATGCCAATTTTTTGGGTTTTAAGAGCAGTGATCTAACCCAAAGCGCTCCCAGAAAACATGTCATTCCTATTTCTAATACACCGTGAAGCTTCAAGTCAAGCTCTGGATTGAGCAGGAATATCAGCAGAGCCAAGCAAGGGATGACGCTTAGATTTAGAAGCCTGCAAAATCGGGGGGAGGGGGGGGGAAGAGAAAAGACTGATGAAGAATAATGAATCATGTCTGAAAAACATCTATTCAGATTTTATTTTATACTGTTTGGTAGAGGGAATATAGCTTTTTTTTTCTTGAGCTTGCAAAATATGCATGCTCAGCTATTGCCTGAAATAAGATAACTGGCCTTGCATAGTCATAAAAAAGACTTTTTGTATCGTTGACTGATTCACTGCTAACCCCAAAGGGTGGGTTTCTGTGATTTTGAACGATCATACCTTGTTTTGCAGAGGGGGAATGTCTGTTGAAAGGCAACTAGTGAGCTTGAGATTTCTCAGTTTCCCATGGGGCATATGTTACGAGTTGGCGAGAGGGGAAACTGGACTAAAACTTTTTTTTTTTGGTCCAGGTTGGTGCCTAGGAAAGAAGACCTAGGTCAACTTGGGAAGAGGAGGCAGGGGGTTGCTAGATAAAATAAATATGTAATTTATTAGAACTCCTCAAAATATATTTCATAGATTTAGAAAATTTTGGTCCTACTTGTGGATCTGCTCAGTTAACTTAATTCCAAAAGGACCATAATGTGTCTATAGTCAGAACAGGCCGTACAATGTCATTCCCCTCCTGGAAATCAAAAAAAAAAAAGTTGTGCTTGCTGGTCCTTCCTCCCAACACTCAGCAACCTGCCCCTTCCAATGCAGGTGGTGGTGAATGCCTTGGTGGGCGCCATCCCCTCCATCATGAATGTGCTGCTGGTGTGTCTCATCTTCTGGCTGATTTTCAGCATCATGGGAGTCAACCTGTTTGCGGGAAAGTACCACTACTGCTTTAATGAGACTTCTGAAGTGCGATTTGAAATTGAAATTGTCAACAATAAAACTGATTGTGAAAAGCTCATGGAGGGGAACAATACAGAAATCAGATGGAAGAACGTGAAGATCAACTTTGACAACGTTGGGGCTGGATATCTGGCGCTTCTTCAGGTGGTAAGTGTTGTTATGTTTTCAGCTCTGTGCAATTCAGATGGGGAGCAGACATCTCGTGGTTCCTTCTCAACCCTGCTTCCAGAATCAGGATTATTTCTAAGAGGTCACAAAGAACCATGTGCCATTTCCCAAACCAGTTCCAGGGATACACCTTTCCCGAGCACTCTGACTTCTCTAAGACCTCACTCAAAGGGACCCTCTCACTGCTCAGAGGCTTAACAACAAATAAAGAGTCCTGCAGCATAATAAAGTTGCAGAGAGAGCACTTTCTTTGCTGCAGGACAGAGTATGTAGTTCAAGAGAAAGAAAAAAGTAAAGAAAATAAGTGCATAGACAAAAAACAAACAATGTTTTGTTTGGATGGCAGTTTTGATGGAGCAGAACAATTCTACGTAACAGCTATACTAAAGCTAACTAAAGGAAGGAATATGGCAGTGCTATGATGCTGCCAATCATGTCAACCCCAGAGAAAGGTCTCAGCGTATTACAGTGAAAAGAGGTTTCTTTAAGTAGCATTCCATTATGCCTACTTTTCTCTTTACCTCACTATAATTTTTTAGAATGTTTGACAAGACCATGATGCAATAAAAGCTCCTCAGTTTGGAATCAGGCAGAGATGTAGGTTTGAGCCACACTCATATTTATTGGAGATGTGTAATCTTGGACAAATTACTCAACCTCCCCGAGTCTGCTTGCTCACTTATTAAATGTGGATAATACCTTGCATGGTTATAAAGGGGATACGTGATAATTTACTAAAATTTCTTAGCACAGTGCCTGGCACATAGCAGTGCTTGATTCATGGTATTTGCTATTATGTATTTCTGTTACTATTACAATTGTGCCTACATCATGTGGTTGTTGGAAGTAGTAAATGCGATGGTGCAGGTGAAACTCTCAATTCGACCTTACATATTAAGCACTTGCTGTCAGCTAATAGTAGGAGGCAAAGTTAATGGAATGAGCAGTGGTTCGTCCCACTCCAAAGCTCTTTTGTTGTTCTATCCCAGTTCAAGAAATTGGACCCACAAATCGAATCTGAATTGGAGCAGCTCCAGGAGACCAATGCACATCAACCAGCCAGTCAGACATTGTATTCAGAGTCCCCACCACATGCAAGGTGCTGTGCTTGGCAATACGAGAGCCATCAGATGACTAAGAAACTGCCCAGGCCCTGAACAAAACTTAGAATCTGGTTGAGTAAATAAAACATAAATAGAATGTAAATAAAACATGGAAATTTTTAATTGGTTACCCACATTTGTTTTCAAAAATCAGGCAAGATAGAGTAGATGGAGGAGTAGAATCGGGAAAGGGCTTTCTAGGATGAAGCCAGCATAGCCTCCACCACAGGATAAACATGTACGTATTCGTAAGGGAGACATTCCAACCTTGGTTTTTTAGTGCAACCATGAATTTTCAAGACCCCCGTTGCTTGTTTAACACCTTTTTAAAAGAAGGCCTCCTCAATGGAGGACTAAATTCTAAGTACCCTCAATAGATTCCTGCCACTCATTCATAAGTATGAGTTTGCCCTAGCTTTAGGCAACCTTCTCAGGCCCATTTTAAAGACCTTTTGTAAAAGTATCGATCCAGTTACTATTGTCAACATGTTTCCCTACCAAACTTTGATGTTCTTTTCATGCACTTAAGACAAAGCTCCCCTGGGACCTCTATTAATAAGCCGAAAAGTCTATGTCCACGTGAGGCTGCACCCAAACTACCTGTGTGTATTCTCACTGAACCTAAGCCTGGCCTCTCGGACCCCTGTGCAGACTCCCGCCCACCCCCTAACAGGCACAGTCTAATGACTGACTCTGTTTGCCAGGCAACCTTCAAAGGCTGGATGGACATCATGTATGCAGCTGTAGATTCCCGAAAGGTAAGGATATACCTGGTGACACCAGAACTTTCTTAGGTGGTTAGAAAGCAAGCAGCATGGTGGATCTCATCAAGAAAGAGAGGGAGGGTTAGACCATTTGTTGCTTGTTTTATTGATTATAGGGCAGCACCCTCCTCCTCTCAGTAAGCCATCACTCTTACACTGACTCCAGATGATCAGGCTGTTGCTTTCGTCTGGCCCCATGGAGCTGGCTACGCTTCCGTGCTGCTTTGAAATAAGTATGGCTCCTAGCAGACAGCGTCCCCTCGCCCTCACCCCACGATGTACGTATTCTCCACTGAACTCATGGCAAAAATAATGCCGCCTGAGGGCAGGACCTGCCAGTGCGGAGAAGCAGACAGGTAGAGAGAACCTAGGGCTCCCCCCGCCCCAGCTTGTTCAGCAGCTCGAGTGGTCAGTTACAGCTGATGGCCTTGGCTGGTCAGAATCACCCACCTGATCCCCAGGCGAGGAGCTGACTCTTCCTTTTTCTCCTGTCCTTTGACAGCCTGAGGAGCAGCCTAAGTATGAGGACAACATCTACATGTACATCTACTTTGTCATCTTCATCATCTTCGGCTCCTTCTTCACCCTGAACCTGTTCATTGGTGTCATCATTGATAACTTCAATCAACAAAAGAAAAAGATAGGTCTCCTCCCCTCATTGCCAGTGGCCAGAGGTCAACCCAGATGAGAGGCATATCTATCTCTCTGTCCCTATCTCTAGAGAGAAAAGGCCTCTGTTCCTCTAAAATCCATATTATCACCTCACTGTGGCACTGGCCCCACTGGACATTAGCCCCAACTAACACTGCTGGGGGCTGGATTTCTCAGTGTGTGGTTTACCACATTGACTAGCAGTCTTCTTCTTCAGGCCTTTTACTGGTTTGGGCCTCCTACCAGAGGGCAGTGGGGTCAGAGAGGGCCTAGTGACAGGGGAAAAGGAAAGCAGATAAATGGCTATGGTGGAAGTAGACAGAGTCTAGACTTGTACCTAACCTTGTTAATCCCTGTGCACCACTAGCAAATTGGGATTCGAGAGACCATTCTTAGAAAGTTCACTTCCGTACGTGTCCCAGATGGTTAACAATTTTCCAAAGCAAATTGAAAAGATTAGTCTTGTCATTCATTTTGTAAATCAGGTCTGTCCCAACAAACTCCAAGGAGCTTCCCAAATTATTTTCTTACACCAGGATTTCTAAATGTTTAATAATGTCAGAAATAAATGGACCATTAGCTAGGACTTGAAAATCCTTTTATTTTAAAATGAGTTTTTTTTCCCTAGAATTTTGTCAAGAAAGCAGGCCAGAAAAAAAATGTAAGAACCAGTGAGATGAGACTAGCTTCAAAGTCATTGCTCTCAAGTTAAACCCTTCCCTGGGAGTCTGTAAATCGGATGATCCTTTTCTTCCTAGCAGATCTTTAAAAACCCAAGCCAAAAGCAAAGGCAGGTGTCTCTTTGAATTGGAACAGTTGTCCCAGGTCTGCCTTCCTCTGGGACAACGGTTAGCTAAAGGGACCTCGGGAAAGGACAGGGGGTAGTCTCGCTCGGTTCTCAGTGTTGAACCTTAGGCTCCAAACCCGTAGCATGTGAGAACCAGTTGTGACTGCTCGTTCTTTCTTTTCCTCCTTTACTTTGGAGGTCAGGACATCTTCATGACCGAAGAACAGAAGAAGTACTACAATGCCATGAAAAAGCTGGGCTCAAAGAAACCACAGAAACCCATTCCGCGCCCCCTGGTGAGTGCATTGTACAGGCCGGGGCCAGAGTGAGACCCCATAGGGAAAAAGACACTGGTAGGGTCACTGCAAAGGAAGGAAAGGGGTAAGTGATGGGCTGCCTGTGGCCTCGAATCCTCTCCTAGCCACCCCATCCAGAAGATCTGAGGAGAACGGCAGAAGTGCAGGGATAAGGTATGGGATGGCTTTTGCATTTGGGTCTGTCCTTGTCCCTGAGCCTTGTTGGGCCACAGCAGAGCACTGGCATGTTAACTACATTGGCTCTGGGAGAGAGATGTTTTAAGAGGCAACTAAAAATTAACACAGGAAAGTGAAAATGAAAGCTGATCTCTTTCCCACCAGTATGAGACAGGATTTGGTCATTATTTTCTCAGCTCTCTACCCAACAAGTCAGTCTTTGTAAGGATGTGCCCGGAAGATAAAACAATGCTCCTGGTTATTTGCAGGAGCAGAAGAGGATAAAAGTAGGAGAGTCTGATGTCCTGACTTCCTCTTTTTTTTTTTTCTTTTTATTAGTCTCAGGTGTACAAAACAATGCAATAGTTATGCTTTTCCCCCCCTCACAAAGTGTAGAGGCCTGACCACTGCACTGACTTCCTCTCTTGATCTGAGCCTTTCATAAAGCACTTTTGGGGACTGGGGTTCCGCTTTACCGTCCTCTTGGTGGCTGTCCTCTTGCTTCGGGGAGGGAGATGCTCCTGAAGCCATGAACACAACCCCCAAAGATCAGGCTCAGAGTCCCTTCTGCTGTGGCTTGCATTTAAAAAACAAACAAACAAAAAACCAGAACTCTTAAAATAAAAGCTTACCTGGCAATCTAATTTGTAAAAATAAAAGTAGAGCTACTTTGTTTGAATCAAGAGTGGGAATCCCAGAGTATTCTCTCTACTCGTCCCCACACCCTGTTCCTGGCCTACTCACCTCACCAAACTCTGAGGGAAAGGAAACCCTAGGGCTTTGTAGAACTTGGTGGTTTGAAAACCACCAAGTTAAAGTGATCCTGAAAATAAGCACCAGCTCAAGTGCCTAGGTACTATTAAAAAAATCAGAGATCTTAAGAAAGTGAATTTTTTTTTGTATTTCCTTGATGTTTATTAGAGATTCCATTCTGTGATAGAAATGGGCCCAAAAGGAATGAAAGAGGATTAACATTTCTAAAGTTCTGTTCAGTACTTTGCACATGGGAAGCTGAGTGTATTTTCTTCCACACCAAAAAATAGAAGTGTATTTTCTTCCACACCAAAAAATAGAAGTTAATGTGGCAGGAAACATTAACAGTGATTAATTCAGCACTCATTCAGCAAATATAGCAGGTCCTCCAATAACATCCTTTTGTTCAACAACATTGATGAAATGTATAGGAACTTAACTCTTGTGGGTATCAATTAGCCTATGGTAAAATTGGTTTTGTTATATATGTGGCTTTGCTTAAAGTCACAGAACCTACTGACGTTGAAGACTTAACTGTAGTTATAGATCCGTGTGTATGAGTTACTAAGCATAAAGTGATGAAGAAAATTTAGACATTACTGTCATAGAACTTACAATGTAATGGGGGTATAGGTAATAAATAAGTAAGCTAACAGCTATTATAAAAAATGGAATGTGTGAGAAAAAATTAACTGGAAGGCCATGACAGAAGAATGGAGGCTTAGGGTGGGGGATCTACTTCAATTGAACAGTCACAGAAAGCCTCACTAAGGAGGGTCTACTTGAGTGGATGAGACGTAACCAAAACACAGGGGAAAGAAATCCCGAAAAGCATCCCAGGGCATAAAAGCAGGAAACATTAGTGTGGCCAAGTGGTGATGAGCTAGAGTAAGGGTCATGAAGTGAGACTGGGAAAGGCATTTTTAAGCCAGGTTAACAATAGCAATTTTGTTGCAAGCCCAATGAGAAAATGTTGAAAGGTTTTTAGGCAGAAGAATGATGTGATTCATTTACGTTTCTAAATAATCACATTTGCTACTGTGTGGAAATCACGTTGGACAAGGGCAAGAGAAGAAGCAGGGAGACCAGTTATGGAGCCTCTTCTAGAAGTCCAGATGAAAGATGATGTTGGCTTAGGCTAGAGTCGGGCCCCAGAAATGGACTGAAGTGGATGAATTCAAGTTATATTTTTGGAGAAAGAATCAATAGGACCTGCAATGGATTTGATGGGGGATGAGGGAGAGGAAAGAGACAAGGATGACCCGCCTTAGAAACTGGATGAATAACAGAGATGAGAAGAACAAGTTTTGGGTGGGGGCAGAGGAAGGACTTAATTCTGCTTTGGACTTGTTAACTTTGAGAGGCTTATGAGTCATCAAGGAGAGGTGTCAATTAAGCAAGACAGGAATTCAGAGGAAAGATATGGGCTGTAGAAGACAGAACTTGAGAAACATAATTACATGGATATTATGTAAGCAGTAATAGATGAGTTCTCCCAGGGAGAAAGTGTAGAGAAAGAAGAGATTAAGTAAGAGAAGTGGCCAGCAAATGAGACTAAAAAGGAGCAGCTGGAGAGGTAGGTAGACATCTAGAAGTGTGTGATGGCGTAGACACAGAAGAGAACAGTGGCAGTTTTAGAAAACTCTTCGTGAGGTGGTATTGATGGGGTCTGTCCATGCTCCTGATGACAGAGCAGCAGGATCAAGCTGGCCAGTGTCACAGACAAGAAAGCATCGCCTTAGATTAACAGGGTGGCAACTCCCACGGTCTGCTGGGAAAGGCTTTCATGAATCCTTCTGTATCTTTCCTCCCTCTCGCCCCACCCCCAACACAACCACCAGAACAAAATCCAAGGTATCGTCTTTGATTTTGTCACTCAACAAGCCTTTGACATTGTTATCATGATGCTCATCTGCCTTAACATGGTGACAATGATGGTGGAGACAGATACTCAGAGCAAGCAGATGGAGAACATTCTCTACTGGATTAACCTGGTCTTCGTCATCTTCTTCACCTGTGAGTGTGTGCTCAAAATGTTTGCCTTGAGGCACTACTACTTCACCATTGGCTGGAACATCTTTGACTTCGTGGTCGTCATCCTCTCCATTGTGGGTGAGTGGGGCAGGCGGGGAAGGGAAGAGGGGACCTGACTGGCCATGAGGATGAGATTCCTGGGAGAGCAACGAGCTACAGAGGTCTGAAGTGCAGGCTGGTTACTCCCATAACTTAAGCCCCTGTTTTCCCCGAAGCCATCTCATGGGCCTGCCCAGCAGGTTACGTGGTCAGTGAGTATCAGTTGAGTGTTCATAGTAGTCTTGGATTGTAAATTCTACGGTTGAATGGGAAATTAAAGATTAGATTTGGTTCTTGCTTTCAAGGAGTTTAAAATCTAACAGGGAACATAGAAGAAACTTTTTTTCTTTTTTCTTTTTTTGGCATCCCTGGGTAGGCAAACTTATTTCTCAAATACAGCTACAATAGCAATGGAAAATGGAAAAGGAGATAGTAAGAGGTTGTGAAGTCGGTGTTAACACAATGGTCTAGGAAAATTCTGGTGAAGATGATGGCAGTGCTCATTTTACTGAGGTCTTGCTGTGTGCCAGGTACAGTTTGGAAGTTTCTTCACTTGCATTTTCTGATTTGATCGTTATGACAGCCCAGGAAGTAGGCTATTTTATTGTTTTCCCTGTGAAGATGTCCAAGGTCACTCAGCTCAGAGGTGGCAGAGGCAGAACTCAAGCTGATTTGTAACAGTGACTGTGTGGCATTGCGCTTCAGCCTAAAGGCACGGAAGGGTTGATGTCCTGGCAGGCAGAGGAGGTGCTGTCCCCCTGATTGCCCTCCCAAAACGTGTCCTTGCCTTCTTGAAAGGAAACACGCCTTGGTATGTTTGACAGACCTAGGCCAGCACAGGGAGAGTGCCTGAGACCCACAGGAACCAGTTCCAGAGCTTTGGTGTCCAGGCTGGCTTAGCGAGGTGGTGACTATGGGCAGCAGAGGGCAGCTGGCCCTCCCCGTGGCCTGTGCCACTTTCTGGTGCTGTCCTCAGGAGCAGCACATGCAAACATGTGTTGAGACATGGAACACTAACCTTTTCTCTCATCAAGAAAAGAATCCCAGGATGAAATTACTTTGGGCAACACTATACACTGAATTTCCCGTTGGTGGATCACAGGGCACAGTAGCCTGGAGAGGACTCCCGGAAGTCCTGCAGTAAAGAATCCTGTTTAACTTGAGCACACCGTCCCACTTTTATTTGATATCATAACACCCTTTTTCAAGTAATAATAATGGTAATCTCATATTTTAATGACCGTGTGCTGGTCACCATTCTAAGTGCTTTACATGCTTTAATTTGTATAAACCTCACAACCTTCTAAGTATCATGAGGAGCTGAAGCAAAGAGCAGTTGCCTAGACATGGGGCTGGTAAGTGAGCAAGCAGGGGTTCAAACCCAGCCCCCTAACCTCCCACAAAGCACACGATGGACCATGCTGCCTTGTCCACTGTTCTTAAACTTTTTCTGCCCACCCATCATTGAGTGGGATGGGAAGTCCACAGACCAAACCATGCCCCCTATTCTCAGATGGTACTCAAAAATGAAGAGGAAGAAAAGTGTTACTTTTGATGATTGGGATTTTTATTAAATATCATTAATTTGTTCAGAAACAAAAGTCTAGAAATCATCTTCTTAAATTAAAAGGAATTGGGGTGAAACTAGCCCTGGAACCTCCTAAAAGCGGAAAACCTCTTCAATGGTGTTCCTGCCGCCTGGGTTGCTGTCTACCCTATCTCTTTCCTCTTTTCTCTGGGGACAAATACACGTTCACCCTACAAAACCTTACTCAGGCCTCTTCTCCCTGAGGCCTTACTTGCCCACCATACGTGGAATGCCAGTATTATATATGTTACCCAACTTCTTATGGTTGCTGGTTATGGCTTCATTGAGACGTGAAAAGAAAGGAGCTGCGAAATCATCGTGGGTTCTGGCTGAGGTAGAGATTTTCTTGAAACCTCAAACACCATGCAGTTTTAGCTCCAGGAGAAGCCCCAAGAGGTTATCTGGCCTCCTTTGAACTTACTGCATCTTGTCCCTTCTGTTCATTACCCCAGTACTTATGAATCCTCTTGGCTGAAAGTTATTTCCTTATTGAAAGTCAATCCCTAATGTCAGTTGAAGCTCGTGCTGTTTTGTCAGGGCCTCAACAGCGAGAGAAGGCACCAAAGGAAGAGAGCGTGTCAATCCCTTCCCTTCAGCTGTCATTCCCCAGCCTTTTCATCTCCTCTTCCCTCTGTGGCCCCTCAATGGGTTCCCATTATTGCTCTGTAGTTTTAAGGCAAGTGATCTGGTAGAGGCGGACCCCTGGATGAATGTAAACAGAGAAATACCCTCACATTTGTACGTTTTCACCATCTATTTTTATTTCCTACTCATGCCCTCACATTTTTACCTGCTGATACTGGTTTCTGATTTATGGCTTTAAACACAAAACCTAGAAGATCTGAGTTAAAAGCCACTCCTGAGAAGTCGCTTTAGTTTTCTAGATTCATTTGGTAGGGAAGGGACATGGGGCAATGAGAAACCAAAACTGTCTTTTCAGAGCCGGGAAGGATGTACTTTGAAAATTGGTGGCATTATTAGAATAACTGAGACATCATAGCCAAAGGGTAGTGAAGTGATGGCGTGGATATGGAAATTTGACAGCATTTTGGAAAGGAATTAATAACACCATGGAAATTCATGCATGCACAAATCTGAAAAAAACCTAACTGTCCTTGAGTGGGAAGACAGATAAATGAGGACCTATTCATTAAATCCAGCCATTAAAATCAATAATCTAAAATTATTTTAACACGACAGATCAATCTCACAAACATAATGTTAAGTCTGAAGCAAATCAGAGATCTAAAAAAACTTGATCTAAAGAAGATAGATGCCGTACGATTCCTTAAACATAGTAGGGTGCTATCTACATACTATTTATGGATTCATACATAGGAAATTATGAAGACAACTATGGTGATACCATTCTAAGGATTGTGGTTGCTTCTGGGAATGAAGAGAAGCGAATTTTGTGAATTGCTGGCATCTCTGAAAGCTGAGTTAGGTACATAGGTGTCTAATTTATTGTTTTTCTCTGCTTTTTGAGACGTTTGAAACATGTGACTTTCCTCTTTCTGTCATGAGAGTTCAGACTGAATAGTAAGACACTCGTTCTATAAAGTCCTTTGAACTTAAGGGGTTCCATATGCCAGGTGACATAAGTAAAGAGAGAGGACATCTCCAGTCTCAGCAACATATCTTCTTCTGTTCCTCTTCTTAGGAATGTTCCTGGCTGATATAATTGAGAAATACTTTGTTTCTCCAACCCTCTTCCGAGTCATCCGATTGGCCCGTATTGGGCGCATCCTGCGTCTGATCAAAGGCGCCAAAGGGATTCGTACCCTACTCTTTGCCTTAATGATGTCCTTGCCGGCTCTGTTCAACATCGGCCTTCTGCTCTTCCTGGTCATGTTCATCTTCTCCATCTTTGGCATGTCCAATTTTGCTTATGTGAAGCATGAGGCCGGCATTGATGACATGTTCAACTTTGAGACGTTTGGCAACAGCATGATCTGCCTATTTCAGATCACGACCTCGGCCGGGTGGGATGGCCTGCTGCTACCCATCCTCAACCGCCCGCCTGACTGCAGTTTGGATAAGGAACACCCGGGGAGTGGCTTCAAGGGAGACTGCGGGAACCCCTCCGTGGGCATCTTCTTCTTTGTAAGCTACATCATCATCTCCTTCCTCATTGTCGTGAACATGTACATTGCCATCATCTTGGAGAACTTCAGTGTAGCCACGGAGGAGAGTGCAGACCCTCTGAGTGAGGACGACTTTGAGACCTTCTATGAGATCTGGGAGAAGTTTGACCCGGATGCCACCCAGTTCATCGAGTACTGTAAGCTGGCAGACTTTGCCGATGCCTTGGAGCATCCTCTCCGAGTGCCCAAGCCCAACACCATTGAGCTCATCGCCATGGATCTGCCCATGGTCAGCGGGGATCGCATCCACTGCTTGGACATCCTTTTTGCCTTCACCAAGCGGGTCCTGGGAGACAGCGGGGAGTTGGACATCCTTCGGCAGCAGATGGAGGAGCGGTTCGTGGCATCTAATCCTTCCAAAGTGTCTTACGAGCCAATCACGACCACACTGCGGCGCAAGCAGGAAGAGGTATCGGCAGTGGTCCTGCAGCGCGCCTACCGGGGACATTTAGCAAGGCGGGGCTTCATTTGCAAAAAGACAACTTCCAATAAGCTGGAGAATGGAGGCACACACCGAGAGAAAAAGGAGAGCACCCCGTCTACAGCCTCCCTCCCATCCTATGACAGTGTAACCAAACCTGAGAAGGAGAAACAGCAGCGGGCAGAGGAAGGAAGAAGGGAAAGAGCCAAAAGACAAAAAGAGGTCAGAGAATCCAAGTGTTAGAGGAAAGCAAAAATTAAATATTGTACAGATTTAAAACTTGCAAGTGAAAGATTGTTTACAAACTTCCTGAAAATATTATCAATGCAGAACAGCTGTGGAGACACTTTACCCTGAAGATCTATACCAAACGTAGTCTGCTTACCATGTCACACGGTTGCATCTTGAGCAGTGACCTGCCCAGGGCAAAGGACCCTGCTCCCCAGACTCACCAGTTTTCTAATGCTTGGGCAGGTGGTTACTGCATGTTCCACATCAGTCAATGCAACTTAGGACAAAACTCACAGGATACAGAAACCGAGGAGTGGCTGCCGGGACCAGCATCCTTCCGTTGCAGCCAAATGGATTTTATTTTTCCATTTTGTTGATTCTCAGAAGCAGAAAGCATCACTTTAAAAGTTTGTTGGTTCATGCAAACTATATTTGCATTCTTACATTAGTTAAGCTAAGCAGCAAAAAGAAACACACACACACACACATACTCACATTTAGCCCATGTCATTTACTTGTCAGTTTCTTTGACATAAACCGCATCTTCTCCACATGGGCTTCACGTGGTTTGGAGATGGGTGGGGGAAAACAATCAGGTTTCTTCAGGCTGAGGAGGACTTGCTCAGGCCGATTCCAAACATTGTGCTTGTTCAATGCGTAGAAACGATTTGCATGATGGCATGCCGTGATCAGAAGTCATGCATGAGAACCATACACCACAGGACACTACTAACCCTGTCCCCTGCACTGGGTCAGCCTTTGGACAGGACCCAGCCCTGCACCGTTCACTGTATTTGGAGGGGGAAAAAAAATGGTAAGAGTTCCATACCCACTGCAATTCTTTATAAATTCTTAGGAGTCTTTCATACACCTTCTGGGTAGGGAAACATAACCAACCAATTGACCACCACCAACAAAAAACCCAATCCAACAAGCAGATGGATCCGTTGTGTGTATATGTTTAACAGACATCTCTTAACATACAGCCATTGTTGCACATTTCGAAAGATGAACTATTTAATGCTGCTCTGTGTCCCGTACGTGGGGAAACTTTGATCTCAAATGGCTTGTATTAATAATGTCACTGTAAAACCAAATCCTAGGGCTAAAAACAAAAATTCCAAAAAAAAAAAAAGGTCATTTGTATTTTGCAATATTTATGATGATTATTTAGCCTTCATACTGGAGAACTGACACTTATTAAGGGTAGAGATAAACGTGCTATTCAAAGTAGCATGTTATCTCTAGGGGGTAACTTGGGGAACTTAAAACAACCTTTCGTTGGGGGTTACGGGGTGCTCACTTCATTTAGTATCATGCCCTTCTGCATTGTGGCGTTCTCTGGGCTTGGGTCCACTTGGAGAGGGGTTCAGAGATTCCGAACAGGCCTCTCTCTTCTATAGAGGGATTGTTGCCGGCTCACACACTGCATGACTCCTCCCGCCTCCATCCCATTTGTCCACTAAGCAGGGCTTCCCTTACCCACAGAGGTGGTGAGGGCAGCTGCCCTGAGGCTGTGGCTGTAGATCCTTTCATTTATTATTAGAAGAAATTGTCACTGGCAGGACCTGTGGTAGCGATGGAGCCGCCTCTGAACCAAGCGCGCTTGGTTTCTTGATGGCACTGGTTCTCATGAGAAAGCGAATTAATACTAACTCTGAAGATGGTCCAACTTCCCCCCACCGCATTCCCTTTCAGCCAGTTTTGCTACCTGCTCAGCGACCTGCCCGTTGTCATTGGAGGGTGGCTTTGGGGGGAGCGTCATATCTGCCATTCCATCTCCTGCTTTAGGGAAGACAGTTTTTAGTCCAGGTGTTTCTCATCTGATGACTAGATTTCAAAGCCAAAATGCTGCAGCTGAGTGTGTCAGGAAGTCTATACAAAGATGGAGGAGAGACGTTAGCATGTGAACCAAATCAAAATAAATTCTTCCTGAACCATACAATAGAGGGAGGAAAAAAAAAACAACCCATAATCAGACACACCAATCTGCCTTGCAGTAGAAGCATTTGGGATGTATTTTCACAGTCCACCTGACTAGTTTTGCGTAGAACAAACCACAGCAAGTTGGTAAGCAGAGCTTTCTTTCTTGTCGGACCATTAGAAGCTGTCCAGCTCTCATAAGCCAGCTTCTGCGGCATCACCCGTAGAACTTTTGTACTGCACCCAATACTGGGTTGGGAAGGCATTTCTTTTGGTGACCCTGCTAACTGCTAGGATGAATGTATAGTAACATATACAGGCTACATCGTAAACAGCACAATACAGAAGCTGACGTGTGGTTATTCTTTTTAAGAGAATTATAAATACTGTAATATATCATTTTATTTTATTGGCATGCCTTTTTGTAAATACAAATTATTAACGTATTAAATAGGAAATGGCTTCTGGCTTATGCCATTGTCATGTTTATTTTTATTTTTTATACTTTTCTTTCTTCTTAGACCTTAGATGCTGCCAGCCAATGTACATCCCCAAACCAGACAGACAGACAAAAAATTTTTTATTGCTAATGGTCTTTTCCAAAACAACAAAAAAATATATATTTTTTTTTGTTCCAATGTGCAATAAATTCTAACCACTTCTATGCAAGATTTGGCTAAACTTCATAATTGTTCTTAGGTCTTAAGATGGGCAACAGAGCTATAAGTTCCCGCTCGATACCCCAAGTGCTCATGCTAGTGATGTCATCAAGCTACTAGAGTATATTAATGAGGTTTTTCTGAAATCTGACCTTTTTCCTCCACCAGACTCTCATCCCAGCCCAGCAGGCTCTCTCCTCAGTCACACACACGGGCCTCGGTATCTGACACCCCTCAGCCAGCTTCATAGGGAAGAAGCCACCTCCACTTGATTTGAAATTCCACTTTTTTTTTTTAACTTTTCCCACATTTCGCTCCCTCCCCATGGTCCCTCCACCCACTCGCTCGCTCGCTCGCTCTCTCACTCACCTGCCCTGCTCCACACTTCTTTGCTAGTAAATGACACCATCACCAGCAGTTTACACCCGCAGTTAACAGGCATTGAACTGAAAGGATCAGTGATGATGTTTTTGTACGTCTTTACTGAGTGGTGAAGTGGCAATGCTTTGCCAAATATTAACGAAGCCAATCAAAAAGCAGCAGCAGCCACAGTATCACTGCACATATATATATATAGATATATAAATATAATATAAATATTTATTTTTTGTAGCCAGGTCCTTGGTGCAGTATTTATACTCCACAATCCACCTTTAAAAAAAAGACAAAAAGCAAAAAGACGTGTGATGCTGTTAATTTAAAATGCAGAGCCAAAGCCACTGAGCAGCAGCTAATACAGTTGCTGGTTTATGTGAAAAACACTTTCCCCTCTTTCCTTAACCTCCTTGTTGCTTAGGATAAGGAGACTCCACAATTTCAAGCAGAGGGCAAGAGCAGGAAAAACTTACCGAGTCAGCATGACCTACTCCCACTCCTCTCTAAATGAGCCTCTTTTGGCACCAGAAGTTGACTGGGAGAGATAATCAGAAACTCCCAGTCAAAGCCCCTGGAACGACTGCCCAAAGTTATTTTATTTTTCGCTGCAACCAATGTAAACTTATAAAAGACCACTAGTGAAGATTAGTGTATTAGTGAATGCATGGAGGCCAACCAACACTGCTCTAAATGAGACGTGATAAGAAGTACATCACTACTATAAGCCAAAAAGGAAACAATAAAAATGACCCTTTTTACTGTACAAGGGAAGCCTGTCTTGGTGTGCATTTGTTGCTTCACTCTCCCAATTTAGAGTCCTGGGAGGGGTCTGGGAATTGGGACCTTAGCACATTTGGGGAAAGGAGGAGAATGGAAGGGAGAGAAATCAGAGGGTCTTTGGCAAAGTTTTGGCCGAGAAGTGGAGATTGGAGAGAAAAGCAAGGTCCTGACCTCCCCCCACCCCCATCCCCATTCACCCATTGCATGTAGCATTCCTCCCACTACTGGGCCGGTGCTTAAAGGCCCAGGAAACCCCTTCCTCACCAGTTCACCTGGCAGGTACCCCAGAGGTGATGTCACCAACCCAGCTGGGCTGGCTTTACTTCTGCCTTTTTCACCAGTATGTGAGGGAAAAAACCATCCCAATGCCCCAAAGCTTGGGCAAGCACGATGCCCAAAAGCCTCCACTCTGCTAGCTAATGCTGGGCCCTGCCCTCCATCACCCCACGGATAAACCAGCAGACTCGGGCTGGTCTTGTTCACATTTGTGCAGGGGAGTGGGGCACTCCTCCCCATCCCTCACCCCACCCCGCTTTGGGGACATCCCTGTCTAGGCCATGTCTCCCGGTCCAGGAACACTCAGGAGGATTCTGAAGTGCCCACTCTAGTCCTCTCCAGGAGCTCCACTCTGGAGAGAGATGGCTGGTAGGTCAGTCCCCATCTCCCCCCCGACCCCCAGCCTCCAGGCCTGCTGTGGAGGTAAGATTGCCATGGGTTGTGACTTTGTGACTTGAGTCCTGGGCATCTTCTGTAACGATGCCTCTTTCTTTTCTCAGATGTTGCCCAAAGTTTTGCAAAAAGCTTCGTTCATTTTCAGGTACCCCCACCCCCTAAAGAATCGGCTGCACCTAGCCAGCCAGGGGGACATCAGGAGAAAAGAGGAAGTCTGGGTTGGGAGGAGCCCAAGGTTTGCACAGGGTCAGCGTTGTGGCTCAGCTCTGTGTTTTCTTGGATTCCCTTTTAAAGATTACCAGGATTTCCTTCATTAAAACACTCCTGAGGCACCCCCTGCCCTTGCCCCCCACTGCTGTTTGCTGTACATAGAGGCTAAGTGGGGTGGGGTGGGCGGGTGTGCACATGTGGTGTGTGTGTGTGAAGAATGTATATAGGTAAAGGGGAGCGGGGTCCAGTGGTTCCAGAAAAGGGACAGAACTCCTGTGTTCCATCCCTAGCTTGACCGCTGGCTCGCTGTGTGGCCTTGGGCAAGTCACTTAACCTCTCTGTGCCTCAGTTTCCCCATCTGTAAAATGGGGATAATAATACTGACCTACCTCACAGGGGTGTTGTGAGGCTTTAACTAAATGTTTTGTAAAGTGTTTTGAGATACAGAGGCAAAGGCACCAGGGAAGGGCAAAGTATTATTTGGACTTAAGGAAGCTGAAATGGTACCATAAATGCTGCTATTCTGAGAGCCATTTTAAACTGCACTGCTCCAACCACCCCCCCGCTTCTCATCACCAGGACAGCAGGTCGAGAAAATGTCTTTCCTTTCACTTGCTTCTGGGGTTTGTGATTATTCTAGACACTTAATTTTTTTCCCCTTGCTGTATCTCCTTCCCTCACCCCCTCGACTTGTTCCCTGTTCCGTTTATGCGGAAATGGCAGAAATGCTTGAGAACTGAGAATGTATAAGTGGATTGGAAGTTTATAGTCTGAAATTTCAATTTTACTTTGTACTGTACATCTTTTTACTTTAGAATTTGCAATAAAGGGTTACGTCAATCTTGTTTTCAACTCTCCTCTTGGACTGGCCTGTCATTTTGTCATCGTTCTCACACCAAAGCCCACCCAGCAGAGCCCCACGGCTGTCCTTTTGCCTTCCCCTGTGGCAGGGGACATAGTCTGAGCAGACTCTGTGTGAGGGTTCCCCCAGGCTCAGGTCCTAGGATGGGCTGGCAGTGCCCCAACCATTCGGATAGGTGGGAATGGTTTGAGGTGCTAAGTAGACCTTCAGGAGGCCTTGCCAGAGTAGGGAGAGCAGCTTGGAGGCGGCAGCCGGCCCCTGGAAGAGGGCACACCTCTAGCTTTGCCGCCCCCTACACACTCCAGCAGGCCTCAGAGTTAACAGCTCTGCATCCTGTTCTGGTCCCCATGGTGCTTCCCAAGCTCCCTTATGATCCCCAGATCATTTCCTCTGGAGCGCATACTTGCAGCTCAGACAGCTCTGGATTCTAAAACCTGACGATGCCACCAGAGTTCCCTTATGTGTGATGGAGATATCTTCCATCCTGGGTTTTGAAAATTAGGTCAAATAATGTACATAACTGCTTAGCATAGGGCCTGGTCCACAATTAGTGCTCAATAAATGGTAGATCTTAGTGGAAGAATAATTTCAAAATAAGGAACTAAAGCTGACAACTAAGAGGGCCTGC